AAGGGTTCATTACCCGGTCGCTGTGAAGTCAGGTTTAAACAACTACACAAGAAAGCCAGGCAGAGATAGGATGAGCTAATTTGGCCATGTTGAATGTCACGGTGACCTGGAAGGAATGGTGGGATATAGGTGGCAGTTTCTGGGGGAAAAACAAGACAGAGGCAGACCTCCCCAAAGGTGGGGACAAAACATTGAAGATACATCTACTATGAAAGCACACAGTGCTGGAGAAGTGGCTGGAGCAATAGTGGAGACAAAACACTAAAGATACATCTACTATGAAAGCACATAGTGCTAGAGAAGTGGCTGGAGCAAAGGTGGAGACAAAACACTGAAGATACATCTACTATGAAAGCACACAGTGCTGGAGAAGTGGCTGGAGCAAAGGTGGGGACAAAACACTAAAGATACATCTACTATGAAAGCACACAGTGCTGGAGAAGCTAGAGCAAAGGTGGAGACAAAACACTGAAGATACATCTACTATGAAAGCACAAAGTGTTGGAGAAGTGGCTGGAGCAAAGGCGGAGACAAAACACTAAAGATACATTTACTATGAAAGCACACAGTGCTAGAGAAGTGGCTGGAGCAAAGGTGGAGACAAAACACTAAAGATACATCTACTATGAAAGCACATAGTGCTGGAGAGGTGGCTGGAAAAACAGACCTGCCGACTGATGATGATGATACAGGATGCTGTTTATGGGTCAGTTTCCTTGAGGTTTAGTTGAATGATTTTTTTATTTATTTATTCACTCATAGTTTTCTTTTTCTTAAAACATTTTCTCAACATTTCAGATACAAGCAGGCCAGTCTCTCTATATCCTCTTCATGTTATTGTTGACAATAAGGGTTTATTCACAAGTGAGCACATGGTCATGTCATGAGAAGGAGACAACTGGAGAACATTGTGACAGTGGGAAAGTTGGAGGGAAAAAGAGGCAGAAGGAGACCAAGAAAGAAGATTCTGGACAGTCTGACATCACTGTATGGAAAAAAGATCATCTGTGTCAGAACTAACTGACTGAAAGTACGTGAGACAGAAGGTTGTGTATAGACATGACTACCAACGCCACAGAATATAAGAGAGAGTCATGAGGTAGATCAAGAACATTATGGACAGATAACATCAGAGAAACTCTAAAACAGTATAATGTGTCTAAGGTTGAGGCAGCCATAACAGCAAAAAGCAGAATCTTATATTTCCCTCAATACCTGAAGTGGTAAAAGAGGAAGTGAAGAAGAAAAAGAAGAAGAACAACAAGAAGATGTTATCCACTGATGCTCCCTGTGTGGGTTCCGGGGCCCTATAAAGGGAAAACAAGAACAGACCCACAGTATACCCAAAAGCATATTGTAATAGTAGACTAATTGGGAGCTTCCTCCGAAGTGGGAGTGCATCTGCCTGAGAGGCAAGGAACCAGCAGTCTGCATACAAATGAGTCAGATCTGTAAAACGGATGCACACAAAACATAGCACTTCAGGTTCTGAAGCAGGACTGCAGTCCAAAAGTGGATGAACAACCAGAACTTTCTGCCAGAGTTTACAGCTGGTGAACACGAAGAAGAAAGAAGATCCCCTGATGCTGGTTTGTTGTTTTTCAGGTTATGATCATGTATCAGTTTACACTCTATTTCTCTTGAATAAAAATGACTGCTAAAACAACATTGTGAGCATAATGAAAGAACTTACCAGCTCCATGATGGGCAGCCTTCGAAGTAATACAGCAAGATCCACTGAATGGCAATGACATAGCCATGAGCCTGGTCTTTCAGAACACCCCTGTGAAAAAATAACACATAAGGTTTAAACTGTTTTATTCTTTTTGTTGCCTTGAAATAACACCACCCCCCCCCCCCCCCCCCCCCCCCCCCCCCCCCCCCCCCCCCCCAATGTAGTTATCTTTCGTTATTTAATGTTTATTTTTTTGTGTGGTTGTAAATGCAGATGTTTGTTAACCTGCATAGGTCATAAGTCGAGGAGAAGGTGTATCTTTAATTTTATTTCCTGCATGTACTGCACGGTCTTCTGCAATTCGTGTGAGCTTTTCATAAAAATCTGACAAAGTGGATTAACAGCAAAGTCTGCAAACTGTCTGCCTTGCATGCACTCTGAAGACTGTTGGTTTATATTTCAGCTGCATCCTTCAAATCATGAGTATAATTACACTGGAGTCCTGGAGGCTATTACTGGGGCCTTGAAGAATATGCTTTGTGCAATGTTCTTGGCAAGCCACTCAGCTGAGACAGACAAACAGACAGACAGACAGATGGACAGACAGACAGACAGACAGACAGACAGACAGACAGACAGACAGACAGACAGACAGACAGACAGACAGACAGACAGACAGACAGACTGACATGACAAAATCAAGTGCGAGGAAGTAAAGAAGTATATCCTATTTTCTTCAATCCTTTTTTCTGGAACAATTATTTCTGAGACTGCTCATTACAGTGCTGAAGTATCTGTGTCATCCAAATGTGTGTGCATTGCTTGTTACAGTGTTGAAGTATTTGTGTCATCCAAATGTGTGTGAATTGCTTGTTACAGTGTTGAAGTATTTGTGTCATCCAAATGTGTGCACACTACTTGTTACAGTGTTGAAGTATCTGTGTCATCCAAATGTGTGCACACTACTTGTTACAGTGTTGAAGTATCTGTGTCATCCAAATGTGTGCACACTGCTTGTTACAGTGTTGAAGTATCTGTGTCATCCAAATGTGTGCACACTACTTGTTACAGTGTTGAAGTATTTGTGTCATCCAAATGTGTGCACACTGCTTGTTACAGTGTTGAAGTATTTGTGTCATCCAAATGTGTGCACACTGCTTGTTACAGTGTTGAAGTATTTGTGTCATCCAAATGTGTGCACACTGCTTGTTACAGTGTTGAAGTATCTGTGTCATCCAAATGTGTGTGAATTGCTTGTTACAGTGTTGAAGTATTTATGTCATCCAAATGTGTGTGAATTGCTTGTTACAGTGTTGAAGTATCTGTGTCATCCAAATGTGTGCACACTACTTGTTACAGTGTTGAAGTATCTGTGTCATCCAAATGTGTGCACACTACTTGTTACAGTGTTGAAGTATCTGTGTCATCCAAATGTGCGCACACTGCTTGTTACAGTGTTGAAGTATCTGTGTCATCCAAATGTGTGCACACTGCTTGTTACAGTGTTGAAGTATTTGTGTCATCCAAATGCGCGCACACTGCTTGTTACAAGTGTGTGCAAACGAGTACTGTGCATGCTACAAACATTATTTGTGGGTAAATCTTCTTTACAAAACTTTGAAAGAACAATTACTAATAAACTACAAGCATCCATTAATTCTTTCCTGTGCAGAATAATAGAGGGAGTTAAATGGTATGATAGAATCACTGATGTGGAGTTTTTAGAGAGAAATAAACAGATTCCAATTAATCAAGAGGTGACAAAAGGACACACAATGAGAAAACCTGAGAGTAATATAACTAGAATGTCTTTACAGTGGATCCCACAGGGGCAGAGAAATAACGGCAAACCAAAAAACACATGGAGAAGGGAGCTTGAGAGTGAAGTTAAAAAGATGGGGAGGACATGGCGAGAGCTGCGTGCAATGACGAAGGATAGAACGACTTGGCTTGACTTGGTTGAGGGCCTATGCTCCATTGGGGGTTAGAAAGTTTAAACCAGAAACTTACGAGGTAACTTCAGGATAGTCCATTTTGCTCATATAATAATCCCGTTTGTGAAGATTAAACTCATCACCAGTTGTATCATAATCATCCTCGTCATCATCATCATCGTCGTCATCGTCATCATCACCAAACTCAATAGTGTCATCACTATCAAATTCGTCAAAATTAGCAACTGGGGAAGCAACATCCAAAACTCAAATCATCATAATAAAAAAATAGTTCAGATTTAGAACCAGGAAACAACAACAACAAACATGTTTCTCTGAAAGTAAGACAAGGTCTTATATTAATTTTTGTTTCACAATTGCACTAGAGTTTATTTTTGGAGCGTTTTTTTTTTTTCAGATACAATAATCTATGGGAGTCGCTGTGGCAGAGTGGCTAGATGTGCGCGGCGGATTGGAAGGTCGTGGGTTCGCTCCCTGGGGGAACCGGACTTTTCGTCAAAAATGACTTTGGCTCCCAGGTCGACCCAGCCTCGAGGGGTACCGGGTGCAGCCCCGGGGAAGTAGAGGCAGCCGGCATGATGCTGACCACATCACTCAACTTGTGCTGTTGGTCTAAAAATATAGGTCTAGCCCTATATGCCCTATACGCCTAAAGGCGTGGAAAGTGGTTCTTTACTTACTTTACAATAATCTATATTTATTCAAACGCAGTCATGACATCTTCTCCTGGAACGTCGTCATAACACTCCAAATCTTGAATTCCGGCCTGAATTTCTTGTACCTCCATCTCCAGTAAAATCAATAGCCTCAGTCTCTCACTCTAGCTGAAGATCTTAACTAGGGCTTATAGTAAAAGCATCCTAAATAAATTGTGCTTGGGCTTATTTTTAGGGTAGATCTTTTTTCCTCTTATTTTCAGGGAAGCATGTTATTTAAGTCCTTAACTCTTTTGGGTAGCATGCCACTCACCCCACATTCATTAGTTAGTTCTTCTTCTTCTCCTACATTCGCCATTAACCAGATTGGGAAATTTAATTTTGTTCTTTTTTTCCTTTCTTTTTTTAACAACTGTTTAATCAGCACTCATTCTATCACCGAGATTGGTATGCTTGTTCTTCCTCATCTTTTAGCATTCACCAGGTTGTTCATCCATTCCTGGACTTTGGCTTATTTGTATGCAGACTGCTGGCTCCTTGCCTCTCAGACAGATGCACTACAACTCTGAAGCAAAACACCCTTAAATAATAGCCTCCTCTGACATGCTTGTTGGGGAGCAGTGGGTCTATTCTTTGGTTCCCAAGAATCCACATGGGGACACTGGTATACATAACATGAGTCATGACATACATCCCGTGTGCTTTTGTCCTTACCGTTGTTGGCAGCACTGTCATCCTCCAAAGCTTTGAAGGGAACACCATTTTTCTCTACCTTGAACTGTAAGCAAAAAAAAAAAAGAGTTTTTAGAATTTACCAATCAGTTCTGTAACCCCAATTTATTATTAACTTGTCAGGGATGTCACCACCTCATTCTCTTCTTCTTCTTCTTCTTCTTCTTCTTAGCATTCACCAGCTGTAAACTCTGGCAGAAAGATCTGGTTATTCATCTACCTCTGGTCTTTAGTCTTGTTTCAGAACCTGAGACTTGCATGCACATCAGTTTTACACATCTGGCTTATCTGTGTGCAGACTCTTGGTTCCTTGCCTCTCAGGGATTGGTACTCCGACTTCGAAGGATGCCCTCAATTAGTCAGTCGACTCTCACGACATGATTGTCATGGAGGAGTGGGTCTATTCTTGTTTTTTTCTCACAATGAGGGCCCGAAACCCTCACAGGGAACTTCATTATCAAAAACTCTAGAGTGTTGTCAGTGAACATCAACTACTTCCACCCCCATCCTGTTGAACCATTACATGTCACATATGGCCTGCAGTCTAGTTCTCCAGTCCTTTCTATTTGTGCAATTCTTTCATTATCGTTGATGAAATCCAGAACAGCACCTGATCTTTTCATAGCATTTGTCTCAGGGTTTCTCTTGGACATCCTCACTTCCATCAGTTGACTATGAACTTTCTATGACATTACCTCTTCACTCTATTATGTTGTCATCATCAATCAATCAGGTGCTGTCTCCAAAATAAAGGTTGGCTGCAATGGATCTCCAAAACACTGTCTTTTATCTTGGTTGTACACTCTCTCGGACTGCTGTTTGTCCATCTCTTGATGTTGTCCACCCACCTGTTTCATTGTCTAAATCTTGCTCTCTTGCCCTCAACATTTATATCCAGTATGGTTTTTAAAAGTGTATAATGTCTTCTAGTGTGATCAAAATATTTTAATTATCTCTTGTTTTGCCATTCTGTAATTCTTTTTCATCTACTTCACCAAATTGTATATACCATTCTACTGTTACAAAACATTATAAACAATTTCATTTAACTGTTTAAACTATTTGTTAGAAAAACAGTAAAGTATTCAACTTCAAAACATTAGAAATATCCTATTGCTGGAAAATATAATAAACTATTCCACCGCTCTCATGCTCTCATCTTAGTGTGCACATGTGCACACATACACACACACACACCCCCATACATGCCCTTGAAAACAGGCAAGTGCGTAAGTAAGCGTGCATATGTAAAACTAACATGAGATTTCTTTTTCTTCCTTTTTTCTTCATGTTCACAAGCAGTAAACTTCAGCAGAAAGTTCTGGTTGTTTGTCCACTTCTGTCTTATTCCAGAACTTGAGTGTACATCCATTTGACAATCTGGCTTCTTTATATGCAGACTCTTGGTTCCTTGCCTCTAAGACAGATGCAATCTGATGTCGAAAATCATCAATTAGTGGACTTTTATGACAAGCTTGCTGGATATGCAGTGGTTCTGTTTTTGTTTCCTCCACAATAGGAGCCCAGAATCCACGCGAGCGAAAAATGACATTTAAAACAAAAAATTAAAAACAAAGAAACCTGCCTATGCATAACCCTGAGTTATGATTTGGGTTATCTTTACGGCACTCCAGACATGTTCATAGGTGCTTAGATTCCCCGTTCAACATATGCATCAGCATCCTGTGGTTGATAGTCCCAGTCCTATGTTGGTCGACAAGACTTCTCGAGCCTGGCTGTGCTGATCTTTACTGCCTCCCAATTTTTACACTCTTAGCAAAGATGTGGCTGTGCTGCTCCCAAAATCCTTCGATCATCCTATCTCTCTAATGGCATTAACAATGACAGTATAATCCATGAGCTGGCCCTCCTTAACTTAGGCAGAGCCAGCTAATCTGTCATAACCCTGTTCTCATTAGTTAAATTGCCATTCCATTAAAGGCTGTCATATCACCACTTTACTTCATACCACTTGAGTCATTTACGATTCACAACATACAGACACACAACATGCCCCATCAGATACAATGAAAAAAATTACCTTCTCCAGTTTTCTAAACCTGTCCTTTGGCCTGTCATTGCCTAGACTTTCATTGATACTCTTCCCGCCCAGTTTACTTTCAAGAAATTTCAGGTCACTGAACCCACTTTCAAAGGTCTCCACATCAAACTGAAAAGAAACAAATAAAATGTATACAGGTAGTGACACTTGTATCAGGTCAGAGAAACATAAAGAGAGACCTAAACACAAGAGACAAAGAAGATGGCAATATACTGGGCAAACCCTGAGCTTAAGATATAGAGAGACCTAAACACAAGAGACAAAGAAGATGGCAATATACTGGGCAAACCCTGAGCTTAAGCTGACAGAGAATCACATAACAGGCACTGAAAGTGGAAATCTGAGAGAAAAAGGCCATCCAAGAGATACCCCAAGACAAAAGAGAAGCAGAAGGTGCCGGGCTGAATTCCATCCATAACATCAAAATGATAGTACAAAGAATTAAAAAAACAGACTGAGAGCCCTAACGTGATGTATAAACAGAACAATAACATGATAAAAGCCCTAACATGATGTATAAACAGAACAATAACATGACGAGAGCCCTAATGTGATGTATCAACTGAACAATAACATGACGAGAGCCCTAATGTGATGTATCAACTGAACAATAATGTGATGAGAGCCCTAACACGATGTATCAACAGAACAATAACGTGATGAGAGCCCTAACATGATGTATAAACAGAACAATAACATGATGATGGTGATAATAATCAATAACAAATGGGAGATATTGTTTTTACTTCATGTTAACTGTCTCCTCCAATATTGCAGCCAAAAAGATGGATATCCAGTGACTCAAAAAGCCAATATTTGTATGGGAATCTAATAGCAGCAAATTCTAAACCCCTATTCAATCAAAGTTCAGCTGATATGAGTTAAAAACTAACATCACACCACTCATGACATTCCCATAAGAGCTCTATCCCCATCTGCAGCAGCAATAACAGGGTTCTAAATTTAATAGCACCAGCAGCAATCTGACTGTATACCCAATACACCACTTCCTTGAGTGCTGAGTGCCGGCCAGATCCCCTGTTTAAACCAACTAAAACAGTTCTAATGGGAGATCTTATGGTTGCAAGGTACCCAACCTGCTGTCCAATGGGGCAGACAGTATAAAGCAAATGTGTGATGAGAATCAGAGACATGGGTGAATAAAAATGAGAAGAGGCAGGTGTAGAGCAGTGCAGGGATACCCAAGTTTGGCAACATCATGGGCATGAAAACAGATGAGGCAGGGAAAATCGGCAAGGGACTAAGATGTTTTCAAATTGGCTGTCATTGTAGAGATGTTCTGTAAAGGAACTGCTTCATGGTGATGATTAGAACTTCTTTTTTTGGTCCTCCAGTGGAACACAGGCCCTCAATTATCTCACCAAATCATTCTGTATTTTAGCTATCACAAGTAGCTCACCCCATGTCTCTCCATCTTATATCACTCCATTCTCTAATTGCCTTTACTGTGTGATTTTTTTTTTTTGGTCTGCTTTTATCCATTTTTCTTCTGTGTTCATCTCAAAAGGGCAGTTGACATGCTGTGTCACAGTTTACAACTAGGCTACGATATCTGCACCTTTTGTCTTAAAACATCAATTTTCAGCAAAACCCTAATTAGGCTATTATGGCATGCTTGTTGGACAGTGGGTCTGTCCTCCCCCCCCCCCCCCTAAATGGGGCCCAAAAACCCCAAAAGGGCTTTTATTTCTATGACACTGGGGATTTCAATATGTTAGAATGATTGAGCCAACATGTCTTGGTACATACATAAAAGACATTGGTGAGCTTCTGTAAACAACAGGTAAAGATGACATACCTTGGACAGCTCCTCAAAGTATTTCTCAAATCTTGGCAGGTTCAGGTGCCCACTTTCATTGATGTATCCTGCAGGGACAAGGTCAACAGGTCAAGAAAACAGCTATTTATTATCTATTTTATAGGCTAAGTTCTCATTAACTATATGTACAAAGATATCTATTTTATATGATATATTGTCATCTTCTTTATAGCAAAGAAATCTATTTTATATGATAAACTGTCATTTTAAACTAAGATGCATCCCCTTTTACAAGGGTGTTACAAACCAACTCCAGCATTTGCTGGCTGTTGTTTTACAAGGCAATTTTATGTTCAGTAGTTTGCCACTGTCCTCAAGAAAGAGAATATTGGCTTTTGAGCTAAAATGCTATAGTAAGATTCTCAGAATATCTTGGACAAAGAAGAAGAGAAATACCTACATCTTGAAAAATCTGAACATCAAGGAAGATTGGCTAATAAACAGCATCCTGCCTCGGAAGCTAACATATTTTGGTCATTTCAAGTGCCACGACCGATAGGAAAAAAACATAGCAGAAGGCATAGTACCAGGAAGGTGGGGCAGGGGCCAACCAACACGAAGATGGGCACAGGATATAAGTGACTCCTTGCAACCCTGTGTCTAAAGTAAGGAGAACATTAATTTCTTCTCCTCCGTCTTCACTTTCAATAGCTGTAAACTCCGACGGAAAGTTCTGGTTCTTCATTCACCTCTAGACTTCAGTCTTGTTACAGAATCTAAATGCCTTGGGCAAATCTGTTTCACAGATCTGGCTTTTCTGTATGCAGTCTACTGGTTTCTTGTCTCTCAGGCAGATGCACTCTGATTCTGAAGTATGCCCCTATTAGTTGACTCTTTCAACATGTTTTTTGGGGGACAGTTGGTTTATTCTTGTTTTCCCCCACATTAGGACCCCAGAACCTGAAACACCATCGAACCAACACCACAGATTCAACATCAAAGTAATATTTCAAGCTGAAGTCGAGAGGATCGACTTCATTGCACTGGGTTTTAATCCCGTATGACTCAGTCTCTACGCAGAAGGCTAGCCGCCTGATGAGAGCACGAACTCCGTAGCTCCGGTGATGAACCCCAGGGACCTCCATAAAAACTGCACTTGTGAAGTGAAGAGCGCAGCCGCTGAGACCCCCAAACTAATTTTTAAACTCACCGTCCAGAGTAGGAAGAACATTCTTGTACGTCTTCCACAGCAGCGGCAGAGCATCATGATGGATATGCAAATGAGGCAGGTGAGGGATGAAGTCGTTGCCTACAAGAAACCCCATTAATATCCAGTCGTCTATGATTTTCTCCAGATCCCAGGGGAAAGGCAATTTGTCCTGTCAGAATTTAACAATATCTAGCTGAACAACAAATAATGTCATGTGGTAAGTGATGATAAAACAAGCAACAAGTCATCATGAGAGTCCTAATGGTACAGTGCAGGGCTTTTCAACTAAATTTACTCAGGAGGTTAAAAGTTTGGAAAACGATTGCCATGGGCCAGAAGCCCAAGCCCGAGAGTTGAAAGGTCTTTAATTCTTAGAGTCCCAAGGAATACGTCATGCGCCAATCGGTTACTACCTAGGCAGCCAATCAGAGTGTGACACATATTGGTTTTTAATTTACCATCGACCAGTATAACAACGAAAATAGGCACTTTTTAATGGCATTTTCTGTTCTTTGTGTTCGATGCTACATGTGTTGACCATTAGCTTATTCGAAAACGTCGTTAAAATAAAACGTCGTTAAAAGCATAAAATGTAGCAAATTTGTGAGCTTTACTGAGCTACTAAATGTCTGTGTGAAAACAATATGGCATCCAAGCATACTTTTTCTTGCATGCCAACAAGATTTGTGACTTTAGAAACCTCATATTTAAATAAAACGCATTGATCAGATTTATCAGAAGCTAGACAAAAAAGTTAAGAAGTACACTTGTTTTAGTCACTGACAGATTCAAACTTTGATGAGTGATAGCTCTGGTATATACCTCATGCAAAGTCAACAGCATTAACAAAACTGGTAAAAGAGAATAAATATTAGTTACAAATCAATATTCTTCAGTTTCAGGTAGGTCTGGTGTGATTCTTTTATTATTTGAGAACATAGGCTATATTTTCCAACCATGCAGGACAGAATTAAAATTTGCTGAGCAGGTGCTTACTGCAGAGTCAACACAGACACACAACACCCGCTGCATGGTGAAATTAAGAAGAAAAAAGGCAGCAGGTTAAAAATAGGAACATTGTGGAGTCAGGCCTGAGGACATGTTTCAGCAGGTGTGTTCACATGAGGACAAAGAACCTGGTGAGGAATGGGTACAAATATCAAAGGAGTGCTGTGCGACCTCTACTATTTGCATCCGACTAGACAGAAAATGCAGACAAGTCCAGCCGCTGTTGATGCAGAAGTGCAGGCTTTGATTTTTGAGAATTCTCTACAGGGGGATGCTGTCGTATACACAGATGGGTTCTAATTTGCCATGTGAGAAGCTCAGGTTGGAGTTAGAATTGTAAATGAGATTCTGGTGCTATTGCCTTGACCACAAGTAGTTTGACTATGGAGGCCATGGCAGTCACCAAAGCAACAAAATGGCTGGAGTCACAGACCTTTTTCCATGCATGCTTCCAAAGTGACTCAATAAGTATACTCAGGTAGATAAAGAAGGGATGGGTCCAAAGACAGTGGTTGGAGTCTCTAGAGTAGTCGAGTCTGACACATATTAGTTTCACATTTGTGCCAAGGGATGCAGGTGTGCAAGGAAATGAGCAAGCTGATCAGCTTGCAGGTAAAGCTACTGCGAGATATACTAAGGAGGGGATCCGAGCACTTATGCACTGAATGGTTTGATGTGCAATGAGGATAATCTGTCGACTGTCGACTGACTAACTATATGCTATAAAATTACTGGCAAACTGAGTGTTACATACAAATTTTTTTTTTTTTTGGGTGTTGTGAAAATACTGTTTTTTGGGGGTCATTTTTCTTTACCAAAAAATGGTGCTTGCTCTCTTATGATGTTCTAAAAATTTCTCGGGAACAAGATCTAATGGACAGATTGTGTTTATATTTTATTTACATTACTCAGTAGCACATGTTCATTTATGATTCAATTTGGATACATTTTATCAAGTTTTCCTTGACTGCTATGGTGGTAAGTGTAAAAATTATTATTTCTGTTTAATAATTTCTCTACATATTCCATCTGTTTATTTACTAATAATTAACTACTAACATAATACATTTTTAAGCAGTTTTCTAATATTATTCCCCAACGATCGCTGGTCACTGTGATGTATAATATGTGTATTGTGCCTGCAGTTGAATCAGCATGTTCCTTTTTAATGTGTAACACTTTGGACATTTCAACATTGCATTACCATCCCTTGGGTCTCTGATGGATGCTAAACCCCCCTGGGACTCAAAGAGTTAATACAATTAGCAATGATCCCTAGACCCCTTGCTAGGCTTTCGTGGGCCAGATTTGGTCCAGGGCTACCAGCTGAATAGCCTTGGAATAGTGGTTCCTACACTTGACCGGCAAATCAGAGATCTGGACTTTTCTTCTATGTTCACCCTTGAAAAAGGGCGGCTGGCATCTCATGTTGTGACTTACATCTAGGCTGCCAATATCTGCACCATTCGGTGAAATATGTCTAATTTCAGCAAAATCCTAATTATTTGCCTGTTAAGAAGTGCTTGTTAGGATGCAATGGGTCTATTCTCCCCCACCTTGTAACAGAACTTCAGTGTTTTGTGCACATTTGTTTTACACAACTGGCTTATCCATATGCAGACTGTTAGTTCCTTACCTCTCAGGCAGATGCACTCCATATCTGAAGGAAACCCCTAATGAGTCAACTCTTCCATGTTTTTTAGAGGTGCAGTTGAGTCTATTCTCATTTTCCCCATAATCGGGCCCCGGAACCCACACAGAGATCTACATTCATGATTCTACTGTAAAATTTCATTTCCTTCTTGCTTTTTTTTTTTCATGGTTGCCTGGTTTTTTTTTGTTTTGGTGGCTTTTTTTTTTTTTATAAGAGGTGGTAGCCAAGCCCAACCCTACCCTCGGATGCCTCTTACGACTTTCTATGGGAATTAAAAACAAGATGGCATAATACTTTTATAGAATCCTATTTATGTCATTTATTGTTTTATTTTTATTTTTGTTAAAATACCTTGACATCTGAGAACTCATACGCCAGATAGTCTCTCATCAGGGACAGATGAAGCAGGTGAAATGTTGTTTCTTCTGGTGTGGGAGGTCTGAGGATATTGAAAAGGTTCAAGTCATTACATGGTCATTTCTGAAGATATATGGTTTAACATAATATAACCTTTGACCTGTTAGGGTCATGGAGGTGCATCAATGGAAGCACTAGCCTTCAAAACCCGCCATATTTCTCGTCTTCCGCTTGATGAACAAGTGTCTGACAACTTAGTCCTGTCCATTTCTTGATGTTGTCGTTCCAGGTTCTTCTTTTCCCTCCTCTTCTGCAACTACCCTCCAATGTTCCTTGAAGTACAGTTTTTGAAATCGAATCATGTCTCACCACATGCCCAAATCAAGCTAGCTTGTGATGTTTCACCACAGCCAAGAGAGGCTCCTGATGTCTTGCAAATTTGTATATTTTGTCTCTGACGTATCTGTTAGTATTGTGTTCTAAATAACTAATTCGTAAAATGCCTTAGAAAGCCTGAATCCTCCTTTTTATTTCAACAGTGAGTGTCCATCTCTCACATCCGTATAAGAAGATATACAATACCAGTGATCTGTATGTACTGAACTTAAGTGCGATGCTGATTTTGCTCTTTCACATTGTATTCAGTTGAGACATTGTGGCTGTTGCCATATCTCTTTGGTACAGCTGCCATGGTTACATATGTGGGAGCCGAGATATTTAAAGGTTTCAACTTCTTATAGTTTTTTCCCTTTTATCTGTATGTTGGTAGGTACTTGATCATTGTGGCTATTTACCAGAATCTTGCTTTTCTTGGCACTGATTTCCATGCCATATTTACCACAGACTGTCTCTAATTTTGTAGTAAGTTCTTAAGAGTTCTGCTTCGGAACTAGCCATGAGACCAATCGTCTGAAAAATGTAAATTCCATAGTGGTCTTCCGCCAATGGATATTGATGTTTCACAGCTGTTGATTTAACTGTAATAATGCATCTGAAGAGATGAGCTACACTGAAATATGCCAAGCGGTAAACTGTGAAGTGTATTGATTGTGTCCATATTAATTTTTAAAGATATTTAAATAATATGGAATCAATGTGCCAATCAATACCTAAAATGTATCTGTTAAGTTTCTGTCAATTCAACCAATCAGAAACAATGTTTGCATAATTTCTTATTTAAGCTTCCAGTGGGAATACCTACGGACAAAATAATTTCAAACCTTTTGTTTTTATCTCTTTTGCCTCCAAACCTGACCTCTTCTCGCAGCAGTGAAAAGTGAGGATCATGACTCGTAAGCCCCAACATTATCTGAAACAGCATAGGACATATGTGTAAAAACAAAAAATACAGGTTCCAGATTAAAGATCTGAAATGAGAGCAAGAAGATGGACTGATTTATTGTTAATTGGGGGGAGGGGGGTAAACCTTGCTCAACTTTGATTAGAACAGCTTAGGTTATAATTGTGGTCTATTTTTATTTTTTGTCAAGTTTAATGGCTTAAATGATTTGTTGTGCCAAGAGTTGCGGCTCACTGACCCTAGCTTTGTGATGTCACTCTAAACATGTCTGGGTCCTGTCTTCTAGGTGTAGCTATGTTGTGTGTAACTGTGATTATACTCCTTATATCTTATATGGTGTTTTCCCTCCAGGGGTGTTTTCCCTGTCTTCTATCCTTGCGAGATTGATTGGTGATCCTGAAGACATGATACATTCACATGGAAAAACAACAGACTATCCTTCCTGCCACTCATTAAGCATTGGGCCCCCAACTATTCTTCCCTATGAGGCTTGACAGCAAAAGTAGAAGACAAAAGATAAAACAACTGCCATTACTGCCTGTATTTAATACTTTGGTGTAGGCAGGGAGGTCTTTGAGCCTGAAGATTTAGGGCCATCTGACTAGTGCCATCGCCATGGACTGTGCAGATTAGGATTTTATTTCTTTCCCCAACAGAACAAAATCCATGACCTAATCAATGATTCGAACCTGGCTTTCTCCCATGAGAGTCCAATATAAATGTTCCTGTAGCTATCGCTTTTGCAGCCAATGTGTTTATGACACCTCCATCATTAGAATTACATTCCATCACTCAAAACACTGCTTCTTCAATTCAATCTGAATATCAGCAACACACAAGTAGCCGCAAGTATCAATGGAACTCTTACCAAATCGGCATCAAGACCATACAGGCAATGTCTTGTGTCAGGGTCATAGTCTGCCTGACTTTTGGAGTAGCGAATAAAATCCATGACCTTGTGTTCCCCTTCTCCTGGTGTCTGTGAGATAAAGAAGAAAACACAAGTGTAAAACATCACTGGAGTTTTCCAGAACAAAAACAATCCAACACATTTGTAGTTAAGAAGAACAATAGTACTACAGTTCGGAGAAGCAGAAAAATGTTACAAACCAGCTCAGATTTTACAAACTGCCGCAGCATTTGTCTGCATATCAGTTAGGTTCTGGTTTGAGAATCCTGTTTATTTCCATTACCTATTCATACTACAACTATTTCATTTTGAATTGTACCAATATGGAAAAAAAAGAAGTTTTCAAAACTTTAGGGATTGCAAGCAAACTGTGCCATCTGTTGCAGATTTCGGATTAATGATATACTATGTAATTGCTTGGGCTTGTTAAAGAAAAAGGTAAATCGTACATTTTTAAACCAGACTTCTTCTTCTTATAGTCCATGCCATGTGGTGTTGGTAGTCATGTGCATCCACAGCCTTCAAGAAATGATCTTCCATAGTCCATGCCATGTAGTGTTGGTAGTCATGTTATCCACAACCTTCTGTCTCGTGTACTTTCAATAAACTATGACACAGATGATCTTCCCTTCCATAGTCCATGCCATGTGGTATTGGTAGTCATGTCCATCCACAATCTTCTGTCTCATGTACTTTCAATCGATTCTGACAGAAATTATCTTCCATGCCATGATGTCAAAATGTCCAGCGCCTTTTCTCTCAGTCTCTCTCTGCATCTTTTCCCCTCCAAACTTTTCCACTTTCAGGGTGACTCCAGCTTTTTCCTTCTCATGACATAACCAAAGAATGTAGATTGTCTCCTTCTGATGTGGGCAATCAGTTTTCTCCATGAGCCAGTTTCTATCAAGACATCTCCATTAACTCTTTTAATCTGCCCAGGGTATCCTCAATTCTCACTGTTCATCTATAAAGCCACACCTCTGACACTTCCATATAATTAATGACTAATTGCCCAACTGTAGGATAGGATTTATAAGCTCGTGTCCCCGGGCCCTATTTTAGGGAAAATGAGAAAAAAACTCACTGACCACCTAAAAGCATGTCGGAACAGTCAACTAAATGGGAGCTTCCTTCGAAGTCGAAGAGCATCTGCCTGAGAGGCAAAGAACCAGCAGTCTGCACACAAATAAGTCAGGTCTGTCAAATGGATGCACACGCAACACTCAGGTTATGAAACAGGGAAGGAGAAGATAAGCTCCTGAAAATTCTCTTTCTCGTCTCAATTGACACAGATATAAACATGGAATATTCTTCATTTTGTAAAATTTTACCTTTAAATAAAACTACCTTATAATAAACAAAGAAAAAAACTAGACAAAGACTGAACCCACCTCATGTCCAGAGAGATACACCTGTGGTCCCTGCCACTGAGGGTCATGGGAGATTTTGTCCACCACAAAGTACTTGAGGTGCTCCTGCAGGCGAACCATGAAAGGTGTTCCTATTGGGTCAAAGTTGAGTGTTTTAATATTAAGAAAACATTTGATTATTCAGTTTTTCAGACTATACTAGCATGAGTTGGTAGGTGTTTGGATGTAATGCAGAAAGCAAATACTGCCTGGGTTTTCACCCAAATCAGATCATTTGGTACCTTTCTCAACCATTTTGCCCAGAAAAGCTGCAATACTGACACTTCAGATTGGGTCCAATACCCCATAAATGTCTCTTTTCTGTCTTGTCTATAGTGACCTACTTAAGCTGACCACAAATTTTCTCGTTAGTCTCAGTGATGTTATGGCATGAGTTACCCTATTCATTTATATTTTTAAGGGCCCGGGGAATGTATATAATGCAATGCTTCCCCCTGTTCATGTTTATTGATTACCCCTTCAAAAATCTTTATATTTTTGTAAACAAAGAATAAAAATCTATATAAATCATAATGTAAATGTTTGTTTATGGCTAATCGTTAATCTCTAAAAGTTCTTCACCGATTGCTTTCATATTCTGATACAAGATTGCATTCAAATATGCACGTGTTTCTATATAAGAGTGTCGCACAAAGCACGAACTATATAGCTCCAGCAATGATCACATCGACATTTTGGTTTTGTTTCCACCGATCCGATTTTTTTGGGGGGCTGCCACGTTTCCGGCATAGTTTTTTCTCCCTATCACTAGCAAGTACTTCCACTGGTAGGCAAACTTTGACCGTTAAATTCAGAAATCTGCATGTAGCTGTTTGAGATATTAAATTATTTCGTTACAGGGATGAAGAGTCGTTGAAAGAATGTATGGAAATGTAAAGATGTGGGCATAAAAACAAGTTGGAATTAAAAGTTGTGGGAATAACAAGAGTTGCTGAAAGTTTGTATAGCAATGAAAGATTAGTGATTAGTGAGGACTATCATCACAGCATTCCGGACAGTTCCTGAGGTTGTCATATCTATTCCTCAAAGCTCACAAGCGCAAAACCACTAATGACACCCATTCTGTGGTGATTAATCAGACCACTCTTACATCTGGTGAAATATTATTGTCTGGCTGTTCCAGGCTGCACTCCCATATCTACCACACTCGACACGATCTTCTTCGCGATTTGCATCTCACTTGACATTAATAACATCACTACTTTCAAAGCAACCATCTTGCCCACAAAATTAATCTGCTGATAGTAGCAGCAGTTGTAGCAGCTGCAGAATAGTAGTAGTTGCTGTTGTGGTTAGCCGAGGGACTATCATGCGGAGGACCCAGGTTTAACCCTCGGTAAGGTGATGGATTTTTCTGCCAGGGGCCAAATTGAACATCCTAACCTTAACAGTCCGTTGCCACAGCACTAGCTGTGTGGCCTAAATCCTCAGAAGGGGGGGGGGGGGGGGGGGGGGTGGGGGGATTTGTTGATTTTTTTTAAAGTATAACAGTAAGCTTTACTTTCAGCTGTTTAAAAAAAAAAAAAAAGCTTTAGTATGTGATAAACAAAATACCATTTTTTAAAGTCTTAATAATACAATTTTAATGACCACTAATATAAAAACACAATTATATGTTGCATCTTCAAGAATCGGCAAACCAGACTATCTCTATTTATGCGCAGACAATGATTGTGAAAATAACCATATGAGACACGTGCGCTTTCTATTTTCTTTCTTTTCCATTTAGCCAGACTGAGCCACAGCAACGTGTGGCTGGGTACAGCTAGTTGTAAATTAAAAAGAATGAAACTAATTTATTAGTGATGTGTGTAAAAAAAATATTTTCAAATGACTTTTTTCTGGAATTTAAATCTGGTCATGACCTTTTTTTTAATGTCCCTGGGGCAAGAGGTAAATCAAATATACAAAGATATACAGTAAAAGAAAAAGAAAGATACACACTCATGTCCACATTTCCAGAGAGGAGGGGGAAGAGGAGACAGACAGAGAGTATTTTACAAACATTGCAAGAAAGGTTTGTTCTAATTTATGAATAGAATGCAGCTTATCCCTATGTCTCCTATCTCTTATGCTGCAGCAGTGAATCCTACAATGACAGATCACATATACAAACAGTTGTCTCTCTTGTCTTAAGAATATGGAACAGTGAAGGCAGAAGAGGCAAGGAGCGAAACCCAACAAACAAACAAATCTGCAGCTTTCGTAACTGCTGCTGCTGCACAAGATGTACTAACCTGGAGTGATACAGTTGGAATCAAATCTCTTCTCTGTTGGCAGCACTTCACCCTTCTCCTCAGCCTTCTTGATGAGCACCTCAGCTTCTCTTGCAGATCTAAATGCAATGAAATAAATGAAACATCTGTAAATGCACTGCTGAGAGGTGGCTGGCCAACTGTTTGAGAATGCTGGGCTCTCATTTAGAAAACCCATGTTGAAATCCTTAAAGCTTTTGTAGTGTGCTTTGTTCCAAACATATTGGTGTTACCTTTCCTCTGCAGTAAACAAGGCAAGCCAAGCGAGGGCTCAAGATGCACGGCAACAAATGGTCTCTAAAATAATGCCCAGGTTTTGAGCTATGGAACTTTCTCCCCAGCCTTAATTGTTTTAGGAAAAAACAGAGAGGCAGCAGTCATGGGTTAGGATCCTCGTTAATTAGCGCTGTACTTCCCATCCTCTCAATAACACAATTGACTGGAAAGATGGAAAAGTGCCAACCAACCAACATATTAACAAGTGGCTATATTTATCAATTTGTGTTCATCAGCTGTAAACTCGGGTAAAAAACTTCTAGTTGTTCATCCAGTTCTAAATTCTAGTCTTGTTCCAGAACCTGATTTTTTGCATGCACATCCATTTTATAGATCTGGTTTATTTGCATGCAAACTGCTGGTTCTTCACCTGTCAGACAGATGCACTCCTACTTCAAAGGAGACATCTTTAATTAGTCGACTTTTAAAGCATGCTTGTTTGGGGGGGACAGTGGATCTATTCTTTCATCTCTAACAAGGAGACCCCGGAACCCCCAGGGAGAACTTTCATTACCATAGCCTAGGACCCTTTTATTTGGCTTTTGGGAACTCGTGCTAGACCCATTATTTTACAGACTAATTGGCAAATAGTCAGCAATATGATGAACATCACAATGACTGTCTTTGCTTCCTAGAACAATTTAAGCTGGGTCGATAAGGGATCCCTAGTTCCATATTTGTACAGACCAATCAGCCCTTGTATCAGTCATCTTTACATCCAGGAATATTTCCTGGTACCTTATTTAGGTACTTAAGTCCATTTTTTAAAAAAATTCCTGTCTCAATAAGGATGTGAACACATGACCTCCACACTGCTGCAGCTTCTGATCATGGTGCTCTATGGTTCTGTCCTATTTATCCCTCAAGAACATAGAGGCAGAAAGACAGACAGACATACAAACATAGACTTGTGAAGGCCCACATATGAGACGGAGAGAGAGAAAAGAGGGAGGGAAAAACACCATGCATACATGCATGCGTGCGCACATACACTCACCTTACAACTACATTTCATGCTGGCAAAACCACACAAGCTAAATGATTCAACAATTCCGGAGACACAGTCAGACCTCACATTTCCACAGAAGTACAAAGACAGGAGGAACTTCTAAGACAGAACAATGCTCCTCCCTACCTGAACCTTCGCCCTCTTTGTTGGTTCATCTTTGCCCGAGGGGCAACACCATCGACAGCCATGTAGAACACTTTTCTGGGTTTGATCATCCGGAACAGAAACTGAAAATCAAATCAGTTATTTAGATACAGGCTCTTTCTTCTTCTGAACTTTACCTTCCACCGGAGCATAGGTCTGATTAATTTTAACCCTCTCATCACACTTTAGAAAAATGGACTTCATTCCAATTCCAGAAAAAAATATGTTCACATTTTTTGACAAAGGTCACTAATGAATTCATAAAAATTGTATTTATATACATTTATACTTTTTTTTTAAATATATAAAGATATATACAGAGTAATCAATGAATATGAAAAGGGGTGATGCATTAAATGGAATACATTTCCCTGGGCCCTAAAACAACACATATTTTGTGTGACTTGTGCCGTGACCTCTATCACTGAGGTTTACATGAAAATATATCAACTTGGCTTTAAATAAAGCCATTTAACCTAAGGGACCCCCCGCCCCCCCCCTCCCTTTCCCAATGCTACTGTTGGTTAATGTATCCACATCTTGACCTCTTGACCTCCTAAACATTTGCACAGGAGAAAACAGCCAAGAACATATGTCTTGTGAACAGATCACTGTAGCAAGTCAAAAAAGTGACATTTGTGGGCAACTGGTCCCAACCAGAAGTCTCGGTTTCACAACTTCACAGGCGAAAGAGTTAAGACACATCTGCAGACACGTTCTACTCTACAACTAATACATAGATTTCAAACAATCAGAAATTTTGCAGCAGCTACTATCATATGTAGGAATCCAGTTACACAGCAGATAGATGCTCGCCTGCCAAAGTGTCAAAACTTAAAAAGTCGGAAAAGTGACATTTGTGAGGAATTGGTTCCAACCAGAAGTGTCGGTTTTGCAACTTCTCAGGCGAAAGAGTTAAGGTTTTCTATCTGCAGACACATTCTACTCTACAGCTAATAGAGTTGTTTTCAAGCAATCAGAAATTTTGAAGCAGCTACAATCATGTGTAGGAATTCAGTTACACAGTGGATAAATGCTTGCCTGCCAACCTGAAGGTCAGGCGTTCAAATCAATATCGAGGTGGATTCTCTGGTAGACAGGCATGCTATAAACAGAGTTTCAAGCATCACTTCAGAGGTCCTGGTAGTTAGCATCTTCTGGATAATTTCTCCAGCAAGTGTGCTGGTAAACAAACAGACAAGATAGACTGGCCGGTTCCGCACCACTGGGCGGTGAATTGATGCATGACAAGCCAGATGTTGTTAGGGCTCATACAGCAGCGGTTCTCAACCTGCCGGTAGCCACCCTTTTTTTGGGGTCTAACGACCCTTTCACAGGAGTCATCTAAGACTATCGGAAAACACATATTCATTAAGGTTATCAAGAAAAATAATTGTCTCGGGGTCGCCACAACATGAGGGAACTGTATTAAAGGGTCGCAGCATTAGGAAGGTTGAGAGCCAATGTCGTACAGGCTCAAAAGGAGGCACTGGAGAGACTCATATAGTAGGGAGTGAGTGACCAGGGGTCTGGTCGATACGAGGCTCAGTAGAAAGGCAAGAGAGACATTTAGTTAGACCGCTCAAGGCACCATCAGAACTGGAAGTCTTCACTGACTGCTGAAGATGAGGACAGAGCATTTATGAGAATGTCTTGAATACTGTGATGTCAATTCTTAACTTAACTCATAAAATAGAGCTGGTGACACAACCGACCTCATAGTTCATTCGCTACAAACACCTATTATCTCTCACATATAAAGAAATACTTACTATGAAACTAAATATTTTGCTCTAATTACCCCCCCCCCCCCCCCCATCGGCTCTGTGGCTAAGTCGATGCGAACGCTTCGTAATGCCTGGATGCCATGTTCGATCCCAGCTGTGGGCCATGCGCCTTGCGTTGGTTTCGACAGTGGTATCAAAGAAACCGACAGTCCAGAAAGCAATGGCAAACTACTGGACGTAAATTTGCCTAGAAGAACCACACAACAGCCAGGGGCTGTTGGGATTGGTTCTGCAACGTCCTGTAAAGGATACGCAACTAACCTCTATCCCCCCTTAGGAAAGACAAAGGGTGAAACAAGAGCAAAAACTCTAAACTACTTAGGCTTACTCACATCGATATAATGACAGATGTCCTTGAAGATTTTTTCTTCTGTGATACGGAAATGTGGATTTTCATCGTCAGGATGTGAGCAGACATGAATGATTCCATTCATATCAAGGTATAGGTTGTCAAACTCTGGAAGCTGTAAGAAAATAACAATTATACTGTATCAGAAAAAGTAATTAATACTAAATTTAAACTTTTTAATTCTAATGTCAAATCAGTACTGTTGTATGGAGTGGAAACATGGAGAACAATAAAGGCAATTACTAATAAACTACAAACATTCATTAACTGGTGCCTGCGCAGAATAGAGGGAATTAAATGGTAAGATAGAATTACTAATGTAGAGCTTTGGGAGAGAACTAAGTAAGTCCCAGTGGACCAGAGGTGAAGAAAAGACACTGGCATTGGTAGGACACTTGATGAGAAAACCTGAGAGCAATATAACTAGAATGTCTTTGCACTGGAACATACAGGGGTACAGAAATAGAGGAAAATGATAAAACACATAGAGAAGGGAGCTAGAGAGTGAAATTAAAAAGATGAGGAAGACAAGAGGAGAGCTTCATGCAATGGCAAAGGACAGAATGGCTTGATGTGAGTTATTTAGAGTACAGAGGACAAAAGAAGAAGAAGAGAGAGTAACATATGTGCTGTATTAAAGAGAGGAACAAAAGTGCTGTATCAGAGTTAGAGTAACAAATATGCTGTATCAGATAGAGAAACAAATTTGCTTTAACAGAGAAAGTAACAAATCTGTGGTATCAGAGACAAAAAAAATGTGGTGTACAAGAGAGAGAGAAAAAAATGGGCAGTATCAGAGAGAGTAATGAATGTGCTGTATCACACACACACAGAGAGAGAGAGAGAGAGAGAGAGAGAGAGAGAGAGAGAGAGAGAGAGAGAGAGAAAGAGAGAGAGACAAATGTGCTGTATCAGAGATAGAGTAACAAATGTGCTGTATCAGATAGAGAAACAAATGTGCTGTATCAGAGAGAGAGAGAGAGAGAGTAACAAATGTGCTGTATCAGAAATAAAATAACAAATGTGCTGTATCAAAGATAATAATATGTGTGCTGTATTCCCCTATGTGGGTTCCAGGGCCCCATTGTGGGAAAAACAAAAACAGACTCTCTGCCTACTAAAAATCATGTCGTAAGAGTCAACTAATTGGAAACCTCCTTTGAAGTCGGAGTGCATCTGCCTGAGAGGCAAGGAACCTACCATGTGCACACACATGAGTCAGATCTGTAAAATTGATGTGCATGTAACAGTCAGGTTCTGGAACAGGGATAGAGTACTGATATGGACAAACAACCCAAACTGTCTGCTGGAGTTTACAGCCAGTGAGTGTGAAGAAGAAGATTATGAGCTGCATTTCAGAGAGGAGTGAAAAAGGGGGGGGGGGGGGAAGAGAGAATCAGTTTTCTTATCACAATAATGAATTTGATTATATAAGAGAGTAATAAATGTGCTGTATCAGAGAGTAATAAATCTGCTGTATTACACATAGTAACAAACAAGCAGTATGAAATATTTATAAATGTGCTGTATCAGAGAGAGTAAAGTGTGTGGTATACAAGAGTAACAAATACGCTTATCAGAGACAGTAACAAATGTGCTGTATCAGAGAGAGTAACATATACAATGTATCAGCGAGAGTAAGAAAAATTTTTCAGTATTAGCCAGTGTTCCATTTTCTTCTTTTTCCTCCTTTTTTTTTTTTTTTTTTGCTTGGCACACCTATATAGTAGCCAAGTTGGGATATTGGGTACTTTCTTTTTTCAGTGTACATATTCATGTGCTATGTCAGAAAGAGAAACAAATGTGCTGTATCAGAGATAGAGAGAGAGTAAAAAATTTGATGTATCAAAAAGAATAACATGTGTGCTGTATTCCCCTATCTATGTGGGTTCCGGGGCCCTATTGTAGGGAAAACAAGAATAGATTCTCTGCCTACTAAACAATTTAAACATCTTATTTTGAATTTTACCAGGTAGAACTGACAACTAAGCTTTGGGGAGACCTAAGAGACCTTGAAAAGACATCCCAGTTTATGACCCGCAGTGGATTATGCGCATTCATGACAGAGATCGCTGAAGAAGAATTTTACCAATATGGCAAAACAGTAGTTTTCAAAACTTAACTAGGAATTGCAACAAGCAGACTGTACTGTCTGCAGTGGATTTTCATTTCGGTTTAAACGTGAATTGTTATAAATAGTATTATTGAATTATTAATTTCCTAATGCTTGAGATCACGTTCTCGCTTACAACTGTGAAGTCTGCTCTAGACCATTGGTTCTATTTTGAGAGTTCTTAACTGTTACCATAAATGTGAGTGACAGGTTTGGTAGTCAACTTGACGCCATTCATAATATAATAATACGTATACTAATAGTATTACTATACTAATAATAGTATTAGTTAGTATACTATACGGTGCTGTGCTGTGCTGTCTGGTTTTAAAAAAAAACACAGTAACAGTCACAGATCACTGGGCTGAACTTGATGTACAAACTCTACAAACCTGAAACTCCTTGACCACTTCGCTAAGACACGGATACCTTTCAGAGATCCATCTATAAAATTTAGGGACCCCCATTTCCCTACAGAACTATAAAGTATTGCTCAGGATGTTGTAAAAGGCGATATTTTAGCGTCTGCATGCGTACAGAAAACCCAGTTTATGCTTATGCAACAAACTAAAACTGAAACCCCCAGTCCACGACCGGAAGTCTAGCTCTTACGGGAGATAACCGGTCTGGTTGTATTTGTTATCTCCCTTAGCAGTAATAGCTTTTACTTTCCAGTAATAGTCGAAGTGAAGGGACATAGTAATATAACAGATGAACAGAGTATATAGGGAAATTGTATGATGATAATAGACTAGACGTAGAACTGCAGACCAATAATGATGGTCCACCAATAATGACTGCAGAAGTTGAGGATGCAATACATCATATGAAGAAAGGAAAAGTACCCGGGCCAGACAACATCTAACTGGAAGAAATCGAAGCACTGGGAGATTTTGGAATTGAAATAATAACTAAACTTTTAAATGATATTTACAATAGTGGGTATATTCTAAATGACCTTTTAAAATCCATATGTATAGCTCTGCCAAAGAAACCAGGCTCTTTAAAATGTGAAGACCATCGCACAATAAGTCTTATGAGTCACATTACTAAGATTTTACTGAGAATAATTATGAGAAGAATAAGAAACAAAATTAAACCAGAAATCAGCGATGAACAGTGTGGATTTGTAGAAGGAAAAGGTACAAACAATGCCATTTACATCCTAAGGACATTGTCAGAAAGAGCTATAGAAGTAAAGACTGATTTGTACTTATGCTTCATAGACTTTACAAAAGCATTTGACTGTGTGAAGCATGAAGAAGTAATCAAACTGTTAGAAAAATTAAACATTGATGGGAAAGATCTACGAATAAAAAAGAATATGTATTGGCAGCAAAAAGCAGCTATAAGAATAAACAACTGTTTAGATACATTTCAAAGCATAAAGAGGGTCGTACGACAAGGATGTGTACTGTCACCTGATTTGTTTTCAATATACAGTGAATTTATAATGAGATCTTTGATTGATATGCCCGGAATTGTGGTTGGTGGGCACAATATAAACAATTTACGTTATGCTGATGACACAGTCTTGATAGCAACAAGTCAGAAAGAATTACAGTAAATGATAGACATTGTGGTGTTAGAAAGTGGAAGAATGGGCCTCAGTTTGAATAATGGGAAGACAGAAGCAATGGTGGTATCAAAAAAAAAAACAAATTATTCCTAAATGTGTAATAAAAGTCAATGGTGTTATTTTAGGACAAGTACAGAAATTTAAGTATCTGGGCACATGGATAACATCAGATGGAAGATGCATAACTGAAATAAGAAAGAGAATTGGACAGGCAAAAACTGCATTTTATAACATGAAAAACATCTTGTGCAATATATCCTTGTCATCGAGAGGTAGAAAAAGAATTCTTGCTTGCTACATACATCCAGTTTTAACATATGGATGTGAATCCTGGACAATCGGTAGGCAGGCCAAACAATTTTTTAGAGGCCTCAGAGATGTGGTTTTACAGAAGAATGCTTATACATTGGACAGCCAAAAAGAGCAACCAAGAGGTTTTGACAGAGGCGGGAGCCCGAAGACAACTTATCACAGACATCAGAAGGAGACAGTCATCATTTTTCGGCCATGTTATGAGAAGAGGGAAAATAGAACATGTTGTGACCACTGGAAAGATATGTGGAAGGAGAGATAGAGGTAGACAACGAGAGAAGATGCTTGACAGTCTTGTTGCAAGGCATGGAGGTGTGTCGGCACACTAACTGATACATGCTGCAGGAGATCGCAGATTATGGAGAGGCATGATCGCCCACGCCAGTCGGCAAGGCACCTGATGATGATGATGATGATGATGAATAGTCGAAGTCAGTGGTAGTTGAGCAGTAGTAATCGCATTAGTTAGCAGTAGAAGCAGAAACAGCAGTAGTTGTGTTGTTGATAGTAGTAATGGTGGTTTAGGTAGCAGATCCGCCGTCACGAAAAAAGCAAGGAACCCCCCCCCCCCCCCCCCTTTCAGCCTCATAAATTTAAAAAAAAACATTGGAGGCTTTGTTCCCTCCTCCCCAATGGTCCATTCTCGCAAACCTATAACAAAAACATTTGTAGAGACTTAAGGGTTCTAGTGCCTATGAGGGATAGTAGTATTGCTGGTAGCGATAGTCAGTGCCGTATTTAGTATAATGACGCCCCTAAGCAATGATTTATCTTATACCCCAGTCTCCCCTCAGCATTGCTATTGCAGGGACCTTTTCACCTTTCACCCTAAAACACAACGTACAAAGTATCCAAAAGTGCCAGTACTCACAACAAATTATTTGTTAAGAGAACAGTAAGGACTTTTTCATGCGTATTAGGCATATAGTACTAGATCAAAATTGTATAGACCAATCGGCACTCTGGGGTGATGTGGTAAACATCACAGCGATAGCCTTTACTTCCCAGGACTGTGCAGGGTATTCATTTGAGGTTTGACAGACATGGGAGACAATGTCATTTTTTTAAGAAAAAAAAGTCCGGCTCCGAACCCACTATCTTCCCATCCTCAGGAGAGCTTTTAGCCGCTACACAACGGCGGCTCCTTGTCTATTACAGTAGAGTTGTCCAAAAAATATTGATGCCTTGAAAACAAAACAAACAAACAAGAGATGCCAGTACTCCGTACCGCAAAATAAAACAAAATGTGCCCTGGCTATTGCCATACAATTTCAGTAAGTTGGGTTGAGTTGAGTCAAGAATTGTCATCACAGCACTCAGTGCATTCCCATGCATGCTCCGTCCTCATCTTCAGCAACCAGCGCAGTTCAAATACTGATGGTACCGGTCACAATTTGGTTAAAAGTCCGTCTTGCCTTTCCTCTGAGTGTAGTGAGCCGGCCAGACCCCTTGGTTACACTCAGGTGCCTCATTCTCTCCAGGCCATATTAATCGTCTTTCTCTACTGATTCCAGTACAATAAGTATTTAATGAATATAGTCGTGTGGCGTCTTAAAATGTTCAGGAAAGTTTACAGATTTAGACGTACTTAATTGTATTTCGACAAGGGCGCCATTTGGTGACCTCTAGTCAGTATTCAGTCTCATGTCGCGTCTTCTGGATCGTGTCCAAGAGTACAATTACAATAGCTGCAGCGATCTTCTTTTGCTAGGTTTTATTTATCTCTTCCAGAACCGTTTAAACCTCACGGTCAAGCGAAACAAAATTTTTCTGACCATTTTAAGATGTCACACACTTTAAATACCTCACTTATAATTACAGTTTACAATCCCGGTAGAATTCGATACAGAATTACACGTCGCATTCCTATATCAAGAAAAAGCTTTCCATCGAGTTAATAGGAATAAATTATAGAAAGTACTACAGGATTACGGAGTAAAAAAAACATCTTATTAAATTGTGCAAGAATGTGTACACGAACAGTCAAAAATAAAATACAGGAATGTCAGAAAGGTTCTACATTAGACCTGGAGTGAGACAGGGGTGCATTCTATCAACCTTACTGTTCATTAGAAACGTCGACCAAATTTGCAAATCAGCTAACGTCAACGTGGGGAACAACATCTGAGAATCATTGCACGAACAGCAGTACAGCTACAAAAACATATTAATAGACTCCACTCAGAATGTGACAGCTATTATATGAAGATAAACGTCGACAAAACAGAAGTGATGACATTCTCCAGAAAAGGAAGAACCACCAGTATTAAAACTGATGAACACCAGTTAAAGCAGATGAAGGATTTTACATATCTGGGGAGCATTTTTTAGCAAAAGACGGAAGAATTAATAAAGAAATCCAACAAAGATGCAATGAAGCCAATCAAGTTTTTGGCAAAATGGCACCCATTTGGAAATGCAAGCATGTGAACATAAACACTTAAAGAACACTGTTTAACACAATATTCTTACCAACGCTCTGCTATCAATATCAAACATGGACACTGTCTTCAGAAGACAGAAGGAAAATAGTCACGACAGAAATGAAATATTTACGTACTATGCAAGGTGTAGAGAGAAAAGGAGAGAAAAGATCGTCTCAGGAACGACGATATCAGGAGAAGAATCGGCACAGAACCAATATCTAACTTTATAGGTAGACAACAAATCAAATGGTTTAGCCATGTTACTAGTTTGGCAGCAGTCAGGGCACCACAGAGAGCAATGTTATTTAGATACAGTGGGAACAAACCCAGAGGTCGACCACGCAGAATATGCACTGCAGAAATATCAGAGACACTGAAAAGTATATACGAAGCGAACAGAAAGGCCCGTTCCATAGATCTCTTCCTCCACTGACACCGCAAGGCATTCCAGAAGTAGAGACAAGAAGAAGAAAAATCCAGGCAATCATTCTCGATGATTCTGTATTGCCATGCCAAAAGTGTCTCCAGTATCATGTGTCATCTGCCAATGTTGATGCCTCAGTAGTGCCAACATCCCAAAGGGCATGATGTCATCCTTTCAAGATCAGGCTTTGGTTAGTGACTTCTGATTTGATGATAATGGGGCATAACGTACTCAGAGACATCATAAACCCTGGGAAGTATTGGCACCTTTCCAGGCTTCAATACACTGTGCTGTTTATGGAGTTTCTTCTCAGCTTACTTTTTTTAACCACTTCAAGTATCGAGAGATAATAAAGTTCTGCTTCTTGCTCTTCTGCCCGCATCAACCGTATATGCATCATTCAGTTGTAGAGTTTTTCTGACGTTATCTTTCAGTCTTGTTCTTTGTGTCCTTCCCTGTTGGTGTATGCATTGTATGGTATGGCGTTACATGGTATTCTCTCTGTGTCAGCGGTTCTCAACCTGTGAGTCGAACGATCCTTTTGCAAGGATCGCCAAAGAAAACCCATATTCACTAAAGTTATGAAGAAGCAACGAAAATAACTGAATGGTTGGGGGGTCGCCATTACATTAGGAACTGTATTAAAAGGTCGCCGCTTTAGAAAGGTTGAGAACCACTGCTCTAAGTGGACAAACCATTTGATTTGCTGTCTCTGTATATAATTAAGATTAGGTTCTGTGCTGACTTTTTCTCTTACGACCTCATTCTTAATTTTATTTTTTCTGGTCACTCCTGCAGCCCATCTGATTTGATGATGATGAGACATATTCGTCATTTCTGATAATCGTCCCTTTAAATATTCGTCTTTTTAAATATTCGTCCTACATGAGACACCCCGATTGTGTGCATGCGATACATCCTTGCATTGTTGACTATTGCAGATAGGCTAAAGGTGCTATTTTATATTTTTAATATTTGTCCTATTTAATATACTTAATACTCGTCCTACTTAATACCCATCCTTTCGAATATTTGTCTTTTTTTAAATTCGTCCTTTCTTATAGGTCTTTTTTAAAATTCGCCCTTTTTAATATTCGTCTTTTCTTATATTTGTCTATTCTAATATTCGTCCTTTCTGACATTCGTCCTCTTTAAAATTCGTCTTTTTTGATATTATCCTATTTAATATTCTTCCTTTCTAGTATTCGTCTTATTAAATATTCGTCCTTTCTAATATTTTTTTTATTTTATATTCTTCTTTTTTCAATATCCGTCCTTTCTGGGTCCTATTTAATATTAGTCTTTATAAATATTCGTTAATTGTAATTTTCGTCTTAATTAATATTCGTCCTATTTAATAGTCGCCTTTTTTATTATAATAATATTCGTCCTTTCCAATCTTTTTTTCGTCCTATTTAATATTCTTCCTTTCTGAAACTCGTCCTATTCAATGTTCGTTCTTTCTAATATTCGTCCTTCTTAAAATTTGTCTTTTCTAATATTATCCTATTTAGTAATTGTCCTTTTGAATATTCGTCCTCTCTAATATTTGTTGTATTTGATATTCGTCCTTTTTCAATATTCGCTCTTTAATATTCGTCTTTATTAATATTCATTATTTCTGGTATTCTTCTTTATTAATATTGGTCCTATTTGTATTCAGACAGACGCAGCTTGTTTCCATATAAATATGGCTTATTTGTGTCCAGACAGACTTGGCTTATTTGTATCCAGGCAGATCCAGTTAATTTGTATCCATGCATACTTATTTTTGTCCAGATAATTCTTTATTGTATCCGGATGTGGCTTATTTCTATCCAGATCAAGTTTATTTCTACCCAGATCCAGCTTATGTTTCTGGATCCAGCTTATAAGGCTTATTTGTATCCAGACCGAGCTAGCTTATTTCTATGCAGATCTAACTTATTTGTTTTGATCCGGCTTATTTATATCCTGACCTGGCTGATTTTTATCCAGACATGGCCTTATTTGTTTTGATCCGGCTTATTTATATCCCGACCTGGCTGATTTTTATCCAGACATGGCCTTATTTGTATTCAGATCTGGCTTATTTGTATCCTGAATGATCCAGATCTGATTCTTCAAACTAACTAGAACTAGACTAACTAGTCACACAGAACCAGAGCCATACAGAAGAGGTTCTTTACACTAACTAGACCATTCACACAAAACCGCGGCCATACAGGGAAAATTCTTCACATTAAGTAGACCATTTACACAAAACTGGAGCTTTACAGGAGATTCTTCACACTAATTAGATCAATCACACAAAACTGGAGCTATACACGAGATTCTTCATACTTATTAGATCAATCACACAAAACTGGAGCTATACAGGAGATTCTTCACACTAATTAGATCAATCACACAAAACTGGAGCTATACAGGAGATTCTTCACACTAATTAGATCAATCACACAAAACTGGAGCTATACAGGAGATTCTTCACACTAATTAGATCAATTACACAAAACTGGAGCTATACAGGAGATTCTTCACACTAATTAGATCAATCACACAAAACTGGAGCTATACAGGAGATTCTTCACACTAATTAGATCAATCACACAAAACTGGAGCTACACAGGAGATTCTTCACACTAATTAGATCAATCACACAAAACTGGAGCTATACAGGAGAGATTCTTCATAGTAACTAGTCCGATCATCTGTGTCTTTGGCTTAGGTGTTGCACTTCGTAATGCCAGGTTCGATCCCAGCTGCAGACATTTTGGCGGCATACCGTTTTGCTTTTGACAGTGGTATCAGAATTAACTGTTCAATAGCACGGCAAACTACGGAACAGGATTTGCCTAGAAAAATCACAACAGCAACACAAAAACTGCTGGTGTTGATTCTGTAACATCCTGCAAAGGACACGCAACTACATCAGTCACACAAAACAGGAAAGATTCTTCACACTGACTAGACAAATCACACAAAACAAAAGCCACATAGTGATTCTGCACTATGCAAAACAACAGAAGCCATACAAGTGAGATTTTTCACTACACAAAACAGGAGAACTTCTTTATGCAAACCAATCACACAAAAGATTCTTCAAAATAACTACAAAAAAACATTACATATAACCAAAGACACTATTGACAATATAGTAAAAAACATTTTTATTAAAAAAAGACATGCACATATCCACTTGCCACATTCACTCACACACAAAAATCTCAAAATGAATCCATAAAATAAATCTTTGACAAAGCTAAGAATAAAACTTGTTTGAAATTGTTTAAGTACAAATGGATGAAAATGCGCAAAGAAAAGAGAAGAGGAAAAAATGTATTAGTGTTTTAAATTATGACAGTTTTAAGATGAGATAATTGGAATTCATTGCCCTATGTTTCATCATTTGCAGCTCAGTCTCCCCTTTTGTTGAGCTGTAAAGATAAAATCTAAGTCAACCAAAAAAGCATGCAGAAATCATAGCAAAATCTAGGCAAACGCTGGTATCAACAATTAGAAAAAAGGCAATATATAAGGCACATCCTGAGGTGAAGTGGGCAGAGAATCAGACACTGAAATGGGAAACAAATGGAAGAGAGGACATCCAAAATAAACCCTAACACTGATAAGGGCCAAAAGTGCTGCACTGCATCTACAGTATAGAAAAAGAACTGAGAAACTGGCTGCAAGCTCTACTTGATGTATTAATAACAGCATAACAGGTTGATGGTGATGCAGAACTGGCTGCACTACAGCAGAAAAACCTAACAGGATATTGCATAAGTTGACGTGATGTAGAACTGGCCGCACTACAGCAGAAAAACCTAACAGGATATTGCATAAGTTAGTGGTGATGCAGAACTGGCTGCACTACAGCAGAAAAACCTAACAGGATATTGCATAAGTTGACGTGATGTAGAACTGGCCGCACTACAGCAGAAAAACCTAACAGGATATTGCATAAGTTGACGTGATGTAGAACTGGTTGCACTACAGCTGAAAACCTAACAGGATATTGCATAAGTTGATGGTGATGCAGAACTGGTTGCACTACAGCAGAAAAACCTAACAGGATATTGCATAAGTTGACGATGATGTATGATGTAGATCTGGCTGCACTACAGCAGAAAAACCTAACAGGATATTGCATAAGTTGACGATGATGTAGAACTGGCTGAACTACAGCAAAAAAAAAAAAAAAAAAAAAGAATATGGTTATCTATATAAAAACCTGAACATATCTAGCAGAACTTTCCAAACAAGCATGTCAAATAATGCACAATAAAAATATATGAGGCTGTGATTTCTGTTATTTGCAGCAGTTGTAACTATGACAGGAATAAACAGGATATTCCTTGGTCAGCTCTTTGAGGATCTGTAAAATAAGACGGGAAAAAACTATGAATATCTTTGACAAGACATGGTCGTGCTTTTAATCAGTCACTTATCGGCAGAATTCCTTTCCTAACATCAGTACTGTCAATATGTAGCTCTTATCTCTTTCGCCTCGTAAAATCTTTAAATAATTACCTTTCATAAAAATTTTGTTAGCAAGAAATTATAATTCTCTTGAAACTCTGCCCTAAGGAATTAAAAGAGAAGAAGAAGAAGAAATCTAAAGTCTTGATCAGATTTTATTAAAAATTCTGTTGTTTGAAACCGATGATCACCAAGACACCGGCAAGCCAGCTAGCTGCTACGTCGTCGCTGCCCAAGTAATTAAATTTATGATTTTTCATATCTAGTTATTATTTGGCCCAAAAGTAATTTTCCTTTTTTTTATGAAGGGAAGTACATTAAATACAAATGGAGCAAAGAAATAATTGCTTTCCTTCTCTCTAACCAAGAAAACGTAGGTTGTCTTGACGCAGCCAGGGAGCGCAAAATTACAAAGTCCAGAAATGGGCAGGCAGCCAAAACTTTCTGCCTGATTTCAAAGCTAGAAATGTTATGTTATCACAATCGGCGTCACTGCACATTGGGCATTCCTACGCCTGTTCAGTCCTCTGATGCAGCAGCCACTCCAAGGTACTTCTACTAATTCTTCCCTTAAGATGTTGGTTATAATGTCTCCTCTCTCAGCCTCAAAGGCGACATAGACGTGATTCACCATGCTTTACTCCCATGTCACACTATCGAGTTAGTGTCAGAGATTCATCATTATCCACTAGCCCAGTCAGTACAGTGTTGATGTTATCTGCTCTGTCCATGCTTCTGCCCACATGCATTGGTCCACTGCTTGCCAGTTGGTCCGCTCTCTCCATACCCTTTATGCCAACATGACCAGGTGTGTAGACCCAGGTGAGGGAGGGAGGTGAAGTGAGATTTTTGAACGCTTTCTATCTATTTAAAGAGCCTACAGTACAACAGGGCTTTAAACTAAGTTTACTCTGGGACCAAAATGTTGAAAAGAAGAAATTGTGACGGGCCCATGGCTCGAGCCCCAGCATAGAAAGATTATCAATTCAAAAACAACTTGCAATGATTCGCAGGGAACTTAACAGGCCTCCGCTGGCTGCTGTAAAAGGAGATAGCAGATGTGGCACACATGGAGCAAAACAAAAATTGTTTTACATAAAAACAACTGTATTACTCAAAACAGCAAACAAACAAAAAAAAACGTATTACCCGCAGTCAGAAGAAGCACCCTGTGATGATGAGCCAGCAGAAGACCCTTGTGATGAACCAGAGGAAGATCCTTCTTGTGATGATGGGCCAGGCTCAGCATTATCTTGTGAAGACTTTGACGAGGACTGAGATGAATCTGGCTTAGTCAAAAATGTAGAGATTCCTTTTTGCCATTCTGGAGTGGGCCGCTGACACACCGGGTTTCCACCCCCATACTTGCCCTTTCCTATATGAGGAAACATGATATAAATGAACTATGATAAGTAAAGTCTAGCAAATAATCAAAAGCCAGAGTTGCCTTGTCGACACTGAGTTTTGGAAAATGATTGGATGTTACTAATATTTGTATCCTGATCTGGCTTATTTGTATCCAGATATTCTTCTTCTTCTTGTTCACCGGCTGTGAATTCCGGCGGTAAGTCGCGGTTGTTCGTCCAAATGGATTTTTGACTTTTACCTTGACCTGAGTTTTGCGTGTACATACGTTTTACTGGCTTATTTGTTTACAGTTCTCGTTCCCCGCCTCTCTGGCAGATGTACTCTGACTTCGAGGGAAGACGTCAACCTATTTCTAGGTTGACTGTGGCCATTGTTTTGTGTGGGTCGAGATGTTGCCTTATTTGTGTGGTGTCATCTTTGACCTTTAACAGGTGTGGTCCCCGAAATATCCTCCTTAAGGCAGCCCTAGGAAGAATTGTCAGCCCTCAAGGGAAGGCAGGGGCAGCTCATGGGCCTTCCCCACCATCCAAGGAGGCTTCCATAAATGCAGAGCTGACACATGATGCTCTGGTTCTGGGCTCACCCAAGGAATCGTCACGTCCTGCCCATGACTGCTTAACCTCACAACCGTGTATTGAGCTTCCCGAGCTACAAGGCTGCGCTCTCCGGAGATCAGCGGGGTATCCAGATCTAGCTTATTTGTATCCAGATCTGGCTAATTTGTATCCAGACCCAGCTGTATGTGTGTCCAGATCTGTCTTATTTGTATCCAGACAGATCCGGCTCATTTGAATCCAGACAGACCTAGCTTATTTGTATTCATATCTGGCTTATTTGTATCTATATCTGGCTTATTTGTATACAGATCTAGCTCATTTTGTATCCAAAATATTGCTAATTTGCATCCCGATCTGGCTTATTTGTATCCAGACAGACCTGGCTTATTTGTATCCAGACAGACCCGGCTTTGTATCTAGATCTGACATGTGTATCCCGATCTGGCTTATTTGTAATCGATCTGGCTTATTTGTATCTGTTGTAACTGCTGCTTCGATTAACTATAAATTGAATTCCAAGTGCCCAGCTGTTAGTGTTGGCAGCACTTTTGACAGCTGCCTTATATATTTAATGTACGTATATGCTGTCGGATTTATTGAGACTGCAGTCTGAGTCAACTGCTTTCACAAAGGACAGTGACGGAAACTGCATGTGGTTTTCGCGGGCAGAGGAATGGAGCAAATAATGACCTGATCCATCTGCTATGATGTTAGCACTGCGATTACTTGATTACCTGTTCCAGTAGCTCGGTGGCTGTATATACATCATACAATTCATCCTGCACACCCTTTCTTGCTGGAGCCACGCCCAATTTCTATAACTGATGGAAAGTCACAACACGTACAAACAGAACAGACAGATAATAGAAAGGAAAAAAAGATACTGCAAAGATCAGCTGATGAAGCAGAAACAAATCACGAGAAATGAGCTCAGACAGTGGCATGTTGGATCAGAACAGATCCAGAACATCCTCTCTTCCTTCAACCCAGAACCCACAGAGGGAATCCAGAACAACAATGGTCATGATCTCTAGAGACAAACACCTACATGAGTCACATGATAATGACAATACTAGACAAAGTAAAAAATGATACCATCAGGCAGACTGGTAACAACATCATGCACCAAATTCATTGAGAAACAGAAATAATGGTTTGGTCATTTTGTTAGAATGCAGCAAGCAACTACCACACAGATACTACACGGGAATAAATCTGATGTGAAAGCAAGAGGTGGCCCTATGTGAAAACTAACTGATGACAGAAGAGACCACTGACATTGACACAGATGTACACCAGTCATTGCTATGCATCAAGCAATGGATCGTAAATCATACCTCCCCATGAGACCTAATGGCAACAAGTGAAAACTGATGATGATAAGGATGACAAAATCATTTACCTGCTGGAGATCCCCCATCATTACTACTTGAACTTGAACCTGCACCTCCCAAACTCTTCCTGGGTGCTTGTGCTGCTATCACTAGATTACAAAAAGAAAAAAGAGGAAACATAAATTGATTATAAACAAATCCAGATTATTTCTTCTTCTTCGCCTTCACCAACTGTACACTCTGGTGGAAGGTTCAGTTCTGACTGTTCGTTCTTCTAAATGTGGACTTTATAGTCTTGTTTCAGAACCTGAGTGTAGTGTGCACTTTTGTTTTACAAATCTCACTCACGTGGGTAGCAGAATAAGCGGCCAAACATGCAGTAATTGTTTCAGACTCTTTGAACGTGCTAAAAAAAATTGCTACAAGCAGTCTCTGCTTCGAATGGGTTGAAAACTGTGGAAGTCCCAGTTAACCCCCATCATCTGGATTTACACACCTGGGTTTGAAGGAATAAATGGTAATGAAAGAGCTGACCAGCTGGCAAGTTATACACCAATGCAAATGGGAAAAAGCATGGACAGAGCTGATATCATCAACGCTGTACGGACTAGGTTGGGGGATAACAGCGAATCTCTGACGCTAACACAACTAGGTGATCGTGGTGTTAGACTTGGTGAAGTACGGCTAAGCCACCTTCAGGGTAAAGACGAGAGATAGTATAACCAAATCCTTATGGGAGTAATCAGTACAGGTACCTTATTGTGGCTGCTGCATTGGGAGACTGAGAACGCATGGGGACGTCCAATGTGCAAAGACATCAAATGTGATAACATAGCCAGCTCTTACAACATGCTTTTTGGGGGGAAGGTAATGGGTCTATTCTTGTTTTCCCCACAATGGAACGCACATGGGGAAAGATTTTTTATTTTTAAAGAAGACTTACAAGAAAAAAAATAATATGGCATCTGATCAAACTGCATACAAATTTAATTAACTAACAATGTCAGGTGCTCAATTCTCTTATCTCCTCTGCTTTTTTTGTGTGTGCCTTGTTTTATAAAAAACTAGATTTAATTTCCCAACATCGCCTGGGTCACAGAAAAGAAATCTACATTCATTCTAATTAATTGTACTCATCAAATTTATCTCAGTACTTGGCTTTGGAATATCATAAGTAAAGTAAAGGACCCTTTTCCACGCCTTTGGGCATATAGGGCTAGACCTATATTTTCATAGACCAATCGGCACAAGATGGGTGATGTGGTCAGTATCATGCCGGCTGCCTTTACTTCCCGGGACTGCACCTGGTATCCATTCAAGGCTGGGTTGACCTGGGGGCCAAGGTCATCCACTAGGGAGCGAACCCACAACCTTTCGATCAGCGGCGAGCATCTAGCCACTTCGCCACGGCGACTCCCATACCAAACATTATATAATATTCTGCAGTTTAAAAAAAATATGCTTTAAAATCCGATTTTATAGCCATATGGCAACTAAATATGACAGTGTGTCAAGCCTACGACTTTGAATGATTGCTCCTGCAGTTTAATACATACACAAGGTACTTGATGGCATTTGTAGTTTGCAAGGGATAATACTCCAGCAAATGTAACTGTTAATATCCCAAAGCCATGGTTGCAAATATGCCGGTTTTTGTTAAGACTGTAGCCAGAACGATACCCATAGCTACAAGTTTAACCCGTCTGCGCGTTATCGTTGGGAGGAGTCAGTGCGATTGCAAGTTTTCCGAAAAACACATGATTGATTTTTGTGTTTTATATTATAGATTTATTTCCATATTTGAACAGCAAGGTCACAGTATGTACATTTGATTGACGGATCTGTGACTGATTTAAAGTGATTTTGTAACACCTGCATTTGCAGCTCTCAAACTAGTCAAAGACAAGTAACAATACCTCCGTCTAACCTCAGCATTTGTTCTCTCTGCGAAACTAATAACTGATTAATATAACATCTCTTGGCACCAATTCCTCTGCTAGAGTTATTCATTTCTTTACTAGACTAGTCTGAACTCGGCTATCTTTCAAATAACGGCCCCAAATTATCGAGGCAGAAAAAGAACCCTAACAGGGCCTCAGTCACGTGTCAATTGCGCACTTCTGGGGACTATACTGCCACCGCCGAGGGTATCCCCCACGCGGCGTTGATTGGGGCTAAACTAGATGGCTGGGACTCACGAGCAAATAAAATGAAGGCAGCTGCAGGAAATGCGGTAGCTGCTGCTTGTGAGTCCCAGCCATGTAGTTTAGCCCCAATCTACGCTGCATGAGCGGCGTGGGGGATACTTTTGGCGGTGGCGAAAGTATCTGGAAGTGTGCAATTTAAGTCGCAGGAAGTGCGCAATTGACACGTGATTGAGGCCCTGTTAGGGTATATTTTCTGCCTCAATAATTTGGGACCATTATTCTGAAGATAGCCCTAAACTCTATGAGAAACTGCTCAATTCAGTGACCATGTTTCGTATCAAGCGCAGTGCTGCCGTGCTGAGAAAATAATAAAATTAATATACCGGTCCAGCCCTGACTTGAAAGGAACCGAACCCTTTCCTCGGTTCTAGTTCTGGCTCAAACTAAGCTTCATCTATGAGTGAAATGATTGATGGTTTCAACATGCTCAAATTAAAAATAAAACCTTTATTTATATTTATACTTTACTATTTATTTTCATAAAATAATTTTTTTCTGGCTGTCCATACTCATAATTAATTGCAAGTCCGAAAACTGCAGAGAAGATTTGGATTAGAACAAGAGAAATACAAATAGAAGAAGAAGAATCGGTTGTACCATACCAGGTATTAAATCTTGCAAGCAAGCTGCCACATAATTCATAAATTTACAAAATACACTACACTACAGGTAACAAATTTTGCTAGACATTTTACAGGCGACCGCCGTCATCCCCCGACGTGAGACTAGAACTTCTAGAAGAAGAGTAATGTAATTTAATTAAACTAATTAATTACTTACTTATACTAGTACTACTGACTACCTACTACTACTACTATAACTATTAGTAGGAGTTTTACTCAAATTACTGAACTGTGAAAGCAGATTTTTTTAGTGACTAATATCATACCTTTTCTACTCGATGCGCAACTATCAGCCTTTGTTCGAACCATGTTTCAGGAAAATCCTTCTATCCACGTCCTGCGATATAAAAACCGTATCTCCCAACTTGCGGTGTAGCAGAGCGGCTTCTCAAAGTCTCTAACTCCCGCTAGATTTTTGCAGGCTTTTGGGATCTTGGCCAGTATCTACGACAAGTAAAGCCAAATGTGTCCAATATCCTGTGTGAAAATTAACGTAAAAAGTGCAAAGAATTGCAAAATAATAATCATCAATAAAATAACACATAAAGAATATATCTAAATAATAATATATGACACCTAGGTTATGTTATATTGTGTTAAGAGGAGGCATGGGGCTCACAGTCCTTGGCGATGACAAATGTGACCAGCAAGACCTTGCCTGTGTTTTAAAAGAAGTCTTCAACAGTTTAAGCATTGGTTTTCATGACCGTTGTTACCATGATTTTCGTGTAGTGTTATGTTTCTTGTTATTCCTCCTCTCCATTTCTAGAAAAAAAAAAAAAAAGGTTTAAAACGTAAACCACACAAAACAAAATTGCAAATGAGTAAAGTATAAATATCCAATATTGAAATAGAAAAAAAAAAGTATGTATCATCATATATATATCCTACTTATAATCCAGCTGGGTTGAACATGATTTCGTTGTAAATTACTCTACTGTTGCAATGGTGTGGTTATTAAACCTAACAATCTATATTCCTGTAATCTATTACAACTAATACAAAATCTGTTTGAGTATATATACTCTGAGAACTCAATTAACACAATCTATCCCATTTATAAACCTAAGGGTAGAACCAGATATGTTTGAAAAATTATTTCTAATACTATACTAATCTGTTCAAAATTTAATAACCGAAAATAACTGACAAACATAAAAATACAATTGGGGAGGGGGCAGTATATCTAATTATAACACACAGGGTTGAACGAGATGACGTTGATTAAAATACGACTACTACTAGTACTATTGCTACGTAAAACATATTTGATAACTTGGTATATTGGGCGTCGTCTTTTTCTCATCCTCATCCTTCTCCACCTCCTCCTCCTCATTTTCTTCTTCGTTGTCTTCTTCTTCTGCGGCAGCAGCATTCTGGACCCTTAATGCTCAAAGTTGCAGATATCTCCCATCTCCACCCAGCTCTGCCTAGTTTTCCAACTGGTGACACAAGTGTTTGAAGGCCATCTTGTAATATATTATATTTTCCCCTTGTGTCTTATGATGTTTGACTTCTATCTTTTCTCTCCACCCGCCCAGGACTACAGAACAGAATACACAAAGGTAGAACTTAGTGTAGCCGTTCAAGATGCTATAATTGTGACCTCTTTGGCCTAGGTGCCAGAACCAGAAGGCTCAAGGTGCTCGAGGCCCCCCCCCCCCCCGCACACACACAAAAACCCACTAGGTTCTGGGATTTGTGCCTGGGTAATCCTCGTCCGAATGGTGGCACTTTGTGTCACCGGGTGTTGGTTGCTCTTTGTGCGGTGCAGGTGGGGTTGAATCACATACTTATTCGATCACTATTTTGTCGGGGCTATAATTCCGATTATTGGCTGTATGAGTATTTAGTATTTATATAACGGGGGTGGCGGATATTCATTAGACAGACCCACCGTTTTCAAGTGCCCTAACATGCCATGTATAGGTCTTGTATAACTGTCCTATTATTGAATTCCTATATGGCTATACACGCTTCGTAATGCCGGGATTTCTGGTTCTATCCCAGCTGCAGGTCATGCGCCTTGCGTTGGTTTCGACAGTGGTATCAAGAAAGCCGACCGTCCAGAAGTAATGGCAAACTACTGGACGTAAATTTGCCTAGAAAAACCACACAACAGCCATGTGCTGCTGGGGTTGGTTTTGCAACGTCCTGTAAAGGATACGCAACTAATCATATGGCTATACGCTGGCATCTGTGGCTTAGGCGTTGCGAACGCGCATCATAATGCGGGGTTTGATCCCAGCTGCAGGCGATCTGGCAGCATACCATCTTGCATTGGTTTCATTATACATCAATTCACCACCAAGTGGTACAGAACCGGCCAGTCTATCTGTCTGCTCAGTTCCCAACACACCGGCGTGACCTTGAGAGAATATCCAAAGGATACTAATTACCCGGTACCTCTGAAATGATGCTTGCCCCTCTGCACGAAGCATATCTGTCTTCACCTTTTTCAACATGCTCTGTGACTCAGTGACAATCACGGCATGTGTGTATGGCCGATTCTTAAACCAGCGGAAGGCAACAGTGACTGCCTCCACCTCCATTCTCAAACTAGACGTTGTGATATCATATGCCAGGTTTTGTTGCACTAAGCGACATCCATTCGCTTTTGCTATAAACCCCTAAGCACTTCGGAGTACAGTACTTAGACGAAAACTTATTTTGTATCTGTGCTAAATGAGAAAATAACCAGAACTCATAATAAATGGTAACATCGTGAAATGTAACGATACAATCTAATGACTAACGCATTTAATTAACATTTTATGAGTACATAAATCTCATCAAATACAAAAATTATGATATGATATCTGAATTTGAATTAGACCTGAACGTTTTTGAATTATATAACGGTATCTTGTTTGAGTTCTAAGGTCCAATGTGGCATACCAGTTTTAATTTTACTGGTTGGTGAAGACTGTGGTTGGTGCACGAAAAAAACAATGAGCTCACTTTTAGTAAACAAATGGGTTACTTAAAGAAACATTTGTTATTTTCTATTTAGCGACAACATCATTCGAGATCAATGGAAATCCTATATGTTATGGTGGGAGGAAAAGGGGGGGAGGGGGGGGGGAGAGAAATACTAGGTTAGCAGTAGTTGGTATTCCTTTAACACTAACCCCCCTCCCCATAATATGGGATTTTCCTAAATCTCGTTTGATGTGGTTGCTAAACGGAAAAGGAGAACAGAACCGAGCATATTATATCATTAAAAATGGTAGTAATAATAATAAAACCAAAAACACTTAACTAAACTATTCAGAAAATACTTTTGTTATAAGCTTTATACATAATCAAATACTATGGGCCCGGTTAGCTCAGTCGGTAGAGCATCAGACTTTTAATCTGAGGGTCAAGGGTTCAAGTCCCTTATCGGGCGCTAATTTTTTTTTTAAGTAACTTGTGTTTTTTAAATCTTCTGTCCTTATCCTCCAGTCAGGGAAGGATTTAGACTCAACGAGGCCCTTAACTATAATATTAATCATCCTTGAGACGCCTACCGTTTTAAGTGACACCACTTAATCTCATAAAGTTATCTCATATAGTCAATTTAACACTAGATAGACAGGGTTACGAATGCCAGCATTAAAGAGAAAGTTGGAATAAAACCATGTCTGGTTAATATTGACAAACAAAGAAGGAAATGGTTCAGCCATCTAGTGAGAATGCAGCCAGACCAGACTGCATATAAGACTTTTTTTTTTAAACAGTAGAACATCTGGGAGGAGGGTGAGAGGAAGTAAGAGAGAGAATAAAAGCTGCAAAAAAAGATGAACAAATCCATCTCTCAAGCCACCCGAGAAGCGCAAGACATACTGAAAACCACAACACTAGGCTACAATCTGGTATAAGCAAGACAGAAAAAGAAGTCATAAAACTGTCTAGAGAAAAAAATGTTGGAAATCTGGAGTCTAAAACTGTAGAGAGAAAAGGTAGGAAATTGTTGTAAAAGAAACACATAATTTGTTTTCAAAATCACAGAAATTATATAATCCTCTAAAACAGTGTTTCCCAAACTTTCCTTAGTCGCGGCGCCTTTTTTTCAATTAAAATGTTTCCACTGCGCCCTAACCTAAGTAAAAGTATGACTATTCGCATGTAAGAAAGAGAAAAAAAACTTGTATTTTCGAATATTTTGCGGCGCCCCTATGAAGAAGTCGTGGCTCCCCGGGGCGCACAGTTTGGGAATCACTGCTCTAAAATATTCGATTAAGACAACAATTTCGTTTACAATATATTAAAAGAAAATAACATTTGTGAAAGGAAATTACTTTGTTGAAACCCATTCAGATTGCAAGACTCTAAGTCTAGCTTATGCCTAAACCCAGCACTGCCTCCAATGGAGCATAGGCCCTCTGCAAACTCACGTATAGTCGTCCTATCCTTTGCTATTGCATGCAGCTTACCCCATGTCTTCCCCGTCTGTTTAACTTCACTCTCTAATTCCCCTCTCCATGAGTTTTTGGGTTTGCCTTTATTTCTATGCAGTGGTGGGTTCCAGTGCAAAGACATTCACGTTATATTGTCTTCAGATTTTCTCCAGCATGTTGTCATATCCAATGCCAGCGTCTTTTTTCCCACCCTTGATTCACTGGAATTTGTTTAGTTCTCCCACACAACTCCACATTATGGATTATATAATCAAATTACCTATATTCTACACTGGCACCAGAGGATGCATGTTTATAGTTTATTATTAATTGTTTCAACTGTTCTCTATGTATTCAGCTTGTACAGCAATACTGATTTAACATTAAAAATTGCAAGTTTTGTATTAGTCTCAGAGCTCCCTGTGGTGTTCTGGAGCCTCATTGTGGGGGGGGGGGGGGGGGGGGGGGGGGGGGGGGTGGGAACAAGAACAAGACCACTGCTTCCACAACATGCATATCGTAAGGGTCGATTAATTGGGGGCTCCCTTCGAAGAAGTACATCTGCCGGATGGGCAAGGAACAATCGACTGCACACAAACAAGCTAGTAAAATGGATATATACACACAAATCAGGCTCTGGTACGAAGCTAAAATCCAAATAGATGAACAAACTGGACTTTCCACCAAGCTTATAGCCAGTGAGCAAAGAAGTTTTAAAGCATAAAGAAGGCGTGCGCCAAGGAGGTGTACTTTCACCTGATTTGGGTTTTTTTTAAATTGTGAATGTACTAGAGTGTGCAAAAAAGGGGACTTTCCTTGAATGTCAAGAAAACAGAAACAATGGTTATATCAAACAAAAAGATAACTACAAAATGTGACATAGTAATAGAAGGGCAAGTGCTTAACCAAGTCAATAATTTCAAGTAT